AAATTTTGAGGTTGTCATGACTTTGAGTTTTGAAAATGTGTAGAATTGTATTGGTGAGTTGTTGTATGATTATATCTTGATATAATGGGATTGTATGAGGTGTGGAGTGGTTAAAATTGAGTGAAAATCCTTGGGAATTGCATATGTTACAATTCGGCCATTTAGGGAATTTTAGGAATTTGATGTTGTTGTTATTGCTTGGATGATGTATCATGTATTAAATGGTATTTAGATGGATTGTGTGGTGGTTGGAAAGTGGAAGAATCAATGAAAAATATTTAAGGGTGTTAAATGCCATAAAGGATCCTAGAGTAAAATATTAGGCAAAACGTTGTTTAAAAGAAGTAAAGTGAAAAACGACACTTTGTATGGTCTTTTGGCAACCTAAGGAGGTATAATAAAATGAGAAAGAAAATTTAGAAGAATAAATTGTGAAATAAGCCTAAGAAGGCCGAACCTACAAGGTGTAGGGGTGATTTTTGGTGTTTTTCGTATTTTGATCAAATTGTCGTGTACTGATGATTCGTAGATGGTGTTGTAGGTTGTCGTACGTTGATTTGAACCCCGAACCGTGAGTCGGTGGATTGCCCTTGGTCCTGGACCTTGTGGGATTGAGGCATTCTGTTGAGTAGCAAGCTCGGAGAGTATATTCTGTGGAGCTAAGTGAAGAGGCTCATTGAGGTAACCTCTTGGTATTGGGGCTTGATCCCCTTATGTGTTCCACCATGCCCGTCGAGGGTGATGGTAGGAAATGTATATGAATAATGTAGAATGACATGAGCATGCATTGAGTATTTATGAGGGTACATATGTACCGAGTCTCTGGCCAGTAGACAGTTTTTGCCTTCGGGCATTTCGGACTTCCACTGGATAGGTCTCCGAGAGGGAGTTCCAGTTGACCCAGGGTCGTGGTGTGTGATCCGGATAAGAGCACACTAAGAAGTCTCGGGTGTATGCGGATGGGAGGGGTACCTTGGTTGGATGTTCTAGGAACACGCCTTGGATGAGACCCATAGGCTTATATGCCGAGGACGCTGCGTGGTATTGGTAGCTACCATTCCCACTTCGTCGTATTTTGTATTTCTATATTCTCCAGTTTCTCTAAATCCCTTGCTTAATCCCGTTTTGAAAAGAGGTTATTTTATATTATTTATATGCATCGAAGTGAGCATTGGGTCGAGCTTTCTCCAGAACCTCGGGGTTACTGAGATATATTCATATATCTCACCCCGTCTTGGGGGCTTTATTTCAGGAGGTAGCAGTGGTACGGGAGCGGCGGGCAAGAAGCCTGTAGGATGAGTCATTGGAGGACTTGCACTTTTGCATTTTGATGGTCATTTGGCCTAGGCTAGACTTAGGGCATGAACATTCCATATGTATGTAGGATGAGTTTCATAGTCATATTTGTTCATGTCATTTTGCCTAAGTCTAGTTAGTTGTATATGTCATTTGAAGTTCATGTTTCAAGTTGTAAATTAAAGTTCATGTTTCAAGTTGTAAATTAAAGTGCATGTTTCAAGTTGTAATTTAAAGTCAGGGAATCGTAAGTTGTAATATGTTGTAATTGCACTTGGATACTTAACGTAATATGATGGAAGGGCTTTAGGCCTAGTTTACGATTGTGGATATGTGAATGCCTAGAAAATGCATGTAAATGGACTTGGATGATTGAAACGTATTAAGTATTAATCAAGTGAGCAGTATGATATAAATTGTGTAATAACTATAAACTGAGTTGAGTTGTAAGTGCCCCAAGGAATTTTTGGTCCTTGTGTGTACCACTCATTGGTTATTAGGTACATTTGAGGCCTTAGATCACATTTGCAAATTGGGGATTTTTTGTAAAAACAAAGGAAACTCTGGCGAATTTTTTGTAGAATTGGCTGAATTTAGGCGAACTTCGGGAGAGCATATCTCCCTCCACAGAGGTTCGATAGGGATGTTCCATACGCCATTTTATAGCTTGAGATGTCCCTTACATTGTGTTAAAATATGAGAAATTTTTGGGTTGCATGCAGCCCTGTAGAAACCTGCAAACACGAACTGTCCAGAACGCACCTATGTAGGGGCTGTTTCTGGCAGTTTTTGGGAATTTTATTCCCGCTTCGGTTCTCAGTCAAATTAAGTGTATGATATATCAAATTGAAGTTTGAGGTGTCTAGTTCATGGTATAAAAATTTGCGAGAAATTGAGTGAGTTGTTGTTCTGCAATAATTCGTGGAGTAAAGGATGTTGGGAGCTGTTTTGGGGTTGGTTGGCATTTTTGTTTGTCCAACTTCAAACTGCGATATCCGGAGCAAACGAGATGAAAATGACTCGTGTGATGGTTCATTGGAAAGGTATTTAAGTAAGAAAAAAAGATAGCTAAAGAGGAATGACTTGTTTTGTGCGGTGTGTCCGCAGAAAAATAATAACCGAACCATGTTCGGATGGGTGGAAAACGTAAGATCGAGAAATTAGCTAAGTGGGTTTATGGGAACCCCTTAGTGTCTTGTATTGAGTAAAATAAGATATAAAAATAGTTTAAACAAATATTCCGCAATAGTTTACAGTTATGGTCACAGCTATTAATTATTACGCTTTTTATTGTTTTAAATACTCGCGTAATAACGGAATAAGTTTACTCGCATTTTTATAAATGAATTGATGTGATTGTAACTGCGCTTAATATCATAATGAATGTTAACAATATCGGTGTATAACGGGCTATTACTGAAGATACTTATAAGTTTGTGAACTGCTTTGTGAGGGCATCCAACTGTTGTTGTTACTTCTTTTTTATTTGCAATATCTGCTCATTATATGCCAACAACGCATCATAGTCTTCTAGCTTCATAACCCCCGCTCTCCTTTGTGAAACTGGAGCATTATCGAACTCCTGAGAGACTAAAGATTCCAGCAATTCCAGTGCTTCCTCTGGAGTTTTTATTTGCAATGATCCCCCTGCTGCAGCATTCACCAAGGTTCTTGTGCTCGACTTCATTACTTGGAAGAAAATTCGTCCTTTCTCCCAAGCTTCAATGCCATGTTGGGGACACTTCCAGAGTAGTCCTTTAAACCTTTCCCATGCCTCGTACAAGGATTCACTTTCTTTTTGTTCAAAAGCAGTGATCTCTGCTTTGAGCCTTGCCATCTTTGAAGATGAGAAGAAACTGGCCAAGAACTTGGTCGCCACATCATCCCAGTTGATGATGCCTCATTGAGGCAGTGACTGCAACCACCTTCTTGCTTCTTCCTTCAGTGAACATGGGAAGAGTTTGAGCAAGATGGCGTCACGTGAGACTCCATTCATCTTCAAGGTGTCACAGTAGAGCAAGAAATTCTCTAGATGACTGTAGGGGTCTTCGGTGCTTCCTCCAGCGAACTGATCTTTTTGAATCAGTTGCAGCAGTGCTCGCTTGAGCTCAATGTTGTTAGCTTCCACATTGAGTCTAACAATACTCGCCGTCTGCAAAACTCAGGCTGCAGTCATGTAATCTCCCAAAGTTCTGGGAGGATTCTGAATCGCGTTGTTGTCAGCCATAGTTTCTTCCTTTGGTTCCGTCGAGCTTGATGCTTTTGCTTCTTTTACTTTTCTTTCTTTTGCGCTTTTTCTGAGTTTTCTAGCTGTCTTTTCTATCTCAAGATCAAACTGCAAGGATCGTGGGTTAACAGTACTTTACATAAACTAAGAGTAAAAATTATGCAGAAAATAGAAAATAATGAATGCAGAATATGCAGAAAAATTAATGCAGAAACTATTTTTTTCAAAAAAAAAAAATTAAAATTAAAATAAATAAAAATAAAAATAAATAAAAATAAAAAAGAATAAAATTATATAAATACAGAAAATTTAAATTGCAGAAAAATAAAAAGTCCAATCTAAAAGGCCTTTAGCTACTTCTAATGTTGAAAAATCCAATCTCCGGCAACGGCGCCAAAAACTTGTTGCGACTCGGTAAGTGCACCGGTCGTTAAGTAATAAAGTGTACCGGAGTACGAGATTGTTCCCACGAGGATTGGTTTTCAAGCAAGAACGAGCGTAGTTAGGGTTTCGACTTCCCCTAATCTCCTCTTTATGCTATGAATTAAACAGTCAAGAATCTGTTCTTAATATAATGTCAATCAATTCTTACTCAGTTAATTAAGGCTCAATTCCTTATTACCTTAAATCTATGTGATCTTGAAAGAACTCTAATTCCCCGATTATTCCCCAAGAAAACATGCATTAAGATCAAGAATTTAACGATTGCACAATTACCCTATGTCTATTCCTAGATCACAAGGATTATGATAAATTTACCTAGTCAGGGTTCATGCACCAACATCCCTATTGTCATACAATTCCCTTAAATCAATTCGTAAGGAGCAAACTCATAGAAAGCATTAAAGACAGATAAATTTATTCAATTATAAAAAGAAAGGAATTCAGAGACAATTTGATTCATAAACATAAGAATTCAATTGGGTTCCATCTACCCCTAACTACATAAAAGTCTAGCCTAACATACTGAATTAAAAAGTAATAAGAAAGAAAATAGTTCTCCAAGCCTCCATTGATGTGATGTTGACTTGGTTTCCCAGTGCTCCAATGCTCCGCAACAGGATTCCTCCTTCAAGTCTGTGTGTAATTCCTTGGTGTGTCTGTGAATGAGTTCATTGACCCTGAGCTCCCTATTTATAACCTTAGAAACCACATCTTTTTAATTCATCATCAAATCTCCCCATGGATTTCTATCTATTCTCAATCAAATCGTATTTGTTTCCCTTTTTTCCTCTAAGATCTTGCAGATTGGGCTTCAAATCTTTATTATGATTCCTTGATCACTTCTTAGCACCAAATCTTGTCGACTTACCTTTAAAATGAGCAAGATATCAAAACATTAGCTCAATTTTCAAATCTTTATGATTTTATCATATAACACCTTGAATTCCATGCAATCTACCATATAATTCTTGTAGAATTTAGCATAAAAACATGGTAAACCAAGGGTTTATCACTAAGGATTCCCAGACTTCAAAACTATTTATGCCTTCGTTTGATCTTCTATTTATAGGCAGGATGACACAATAACAATCTTGTGATTAACTAAATTCATCCTCTGCATCGTTTGATGGAGGTTGTCTCCTTCTAGCTTGACCAAATGTTGGGCATTGATTTTCCCATATGGGGATAAGGTTGATTCTCGAGAATGATTCTAGCATTGATTCTCGAGAATGATCTTTTGACCTTCATGCGCAACAACTTGGTTGCCTGTTCTGCTCTTTGTCGCGTTGTCCTTAGGCTGCTTTGTTGTGTGCACTGCAATATCCTTTGTTTGCTCTGTTGCGTGCTGCAATGTCCTTTTTTCTTGCTATTTTGAGTTGACTGCAAAAAGCAAAAGCAATTGTTAGTTGAATTATAAAAGTTAAAGTAAAGGACAACTCACTCTTATTCTCTTTTCTTCTCTCACTTTACACGCTGGTACTCATTCCTCCTAGCAAATCATCACTTATTACATTTATACTAATATTTAAATTGAATTTATTAAAAAGAGGCGAAACGACTAGCATTCCACAATAAAAAATGAAGCGAATGGGAATGAAATTTTATCCCATCAAATATCCTAAAACTTAACTGTTGTTCGTCCCCGAGCAACTAAATGCAGAAATCATTAGATTATTAGAAGCAGTTCAACAATCAAAAATCAGCAATCAAGGAACAAAATTCACACAGAAGCAGAGTTATGTCATAGCTCATAAAGTTAAGAAATATTTTAATCAAAGTCATGCAAGGTTGTTGATCCATATCTCGCCAATCACTCACGGGTACTATTTCACTCATCGTTCCAGAGAATTGTGGTTCCTTGAACTTGCATTGCTTCTCCTTTCCTAATAATAACTTGTTCTCTCCAATCGAAGGGACTTTTAAGGTTAGTAACGAGGCTTAAGCTTGGGTGGACGTGTTTGGAAGCGGCTTGCTAAGAGGGGGAACAATTGGTTTCTTCTTTGTTTCGGCAGGAACGCTTTGTTGCGGCTCTGTTAGGAACGCCTTTGTTTTTAACTGCTTTCCTTTTTCTTTTTAGGAAAAATATTTCTTTCTCGTTCTTTGTTAGCAGTTGTTTTTGTTCTTTCAGCTTTTGGGCATTCCTTCAAAGTCTTTTAACTTTTCTTTGTTGATGTTCCTGATTATTTATTTTTTGTCGTTCCTTCTCTTGGTGGATGGAGTTGTTGATGGTGAAAGGTGATTTGAATAGAATGAGCATGATGATTGAGGTAGCTCATATGGGGGTGACTATGGAAATGATATGTAGGTCGGCTGTTTGGCTCAAACTTTGTTGAAAGATGACCCTTATCCTCTTGAAGCTTCCAAGCGATTTCGCAGTACTAATAGTGTTAATGCAAGCTCAGGAATGAGTGATAAAAATTCTCCATAACGCTCTCTTAGGTAGTGTTTGGTAGAAGATTTATTTTGGGATTGATGGGAAAGTGTAAGTGGATATTGGAAAATATCACGTTTGGTTCAGGTTTTTTGAAAAAAATACTAGACAAATAGGATAGATGGAGAAATGACTTTTGTGTTGATTTTTGGATGAAATTCACTGTTACAGAATACCACTTGAGATGTGGTATTTTGAGATAACTGGAGAAGTGAAAAAACAGGTGCGAAGTTTCTCCCGAACATAGATTTTGCAAATTTAAATAAATTTCTCTGGTAATATTTCGGTCAACCAAACAACTTTTTTTACATTTTCCTACCAAGCTCACTTTCCAATCATTTCCCTAATAATTACATTTTCCTAGTATTCAAAAAATTTATCCTCAACCAAACGCCCCCTTAAGGAATTAAATGTTTTGCTTTTCATTCCTTAACTTGAAAGCGCACTCAGATCAAAACCTCAACATTTGTAAGTGTCAAAATATAACTTTTGCTTTTTTCACTTTTCAAAAAGTTCTATTGTTGTGTTAAAATTGCTTCTTAACACTGAATTCTTTTTCTTTTCTTAAACAGACAAACAATATGAGCAAAAGAATTGTGCAAAGAATAACAACAAAGCAGTGTAATTCATTTGAAAGCAGCAAAAATTTCATAACTGAACAGTAGAGAAAAGAATTTTGTATGCTATACAAATTACAACTAAAAAATCATATTATCTACCAATACTTGGTGCTCAAGTTCTGCTCAGCTATTCACTGCTGCAAAACTCAAATTCAAGTCCCAAACGCAAAACACAAACTATTAAATAGGGTTCCAGGATAGGCACAAAATATCACCACGAAATCAAACGGCTTCAAATTCAGCTTCAATTGCATCTTCCAGAGCTTCGGACCCGCTGTCCTTCTTGAAAAGCATAAAATTTTAGAGTTAACAAAAAAATATTGAGTAGAAAAAGAAGAGAGAGTAGAAGATGCAGATCTGGAAGAATGAAACCTGGAGGAACAAAATTGAGAAAGAGGTGAAACTGCAATGATGACGTGTGTAAGAGAGAGAGAGGGGATAGACATGTGTTGTGTGTAGTTGGGAGTGATTCGAAGAATAGACAAAGTAAAAAATTATAAAAATGAGAAATGAAACAAAGAGAAAATACACTGATAAAGAAAGCAAGGGAAATGAGTAAGCCATAGACGAAATAAATAAGCGTTGCAATTTCTCTAGTAAAAAGCGAAAGAATAGCTAGCTTTGTGCTCACCACATGCCTCCGTAGCATTGCAATTTCTCGATTCATAGTGAGATGCGATTTGTTATGTTGTTCCAGCTATGTTACATATTTTTTTTAAATTTTTTTCCTATTTATACGCATGGTTAAATTATCGTGCCTAAAAATCGTTTTTCTTAGCGTGCACGAAGGGAGATACTATTTTTTTCCCAATCTTAAATGAGGTAGATTATATTTATAATATTTTTTTATTATAATTATTTTGGTTATCCTGGAATTAAAATTAAATTAATAGTTTTTCTTTAATATTATTTTATAATTATTAATTTAATTTTAATCCAACAATAAAGAAAACGGTTGTAAGAAAAAAATATTTTAAATATAATTTCTCTCATTTTTAATTTTTCTTTTGGATTTTTCTCTCTATATTTATATATTTATTTATCTTCTTCTCTAAATTATTTTTTTCCTCTTATGTTTTTTCCATTCACCACGTACCCACCCTAATTAATTCAAGATAAAAAAAAATTAATTTTTATGTAATTATTAAGGATCATTATACGAATATTTTAACTAAAATATCACATTCAAGTGTGAAAAGATGAGACGTAATCATTTTATCTACCAAAACTTTACATAAAAATTATAACATAATTTCTTTTCTTTTCTTCTTGAAATAAAAAAATCATGTAAGACAAAATGAGTATGTAATTTACAAAAAAAATACCATATAAAAATGTAAACTAAATTTATATAATAAGAAAGGAATTCCAAAGTTTGATTATTATTCTTATTTCTCACTTTATTTTTTCTTTCTCCCCCCCCCCCCCAAATCATCTTTTTTCTTTCTTCTAATTTTTATTATTTTAACAGGCATAAAAAAAAAACTATACTAAATTCCCAACCAACCTAAACCCAAAATATTGTTTACAATTAGGGATGGTAAACGAGCCAAGGCCTTTCAGGGGCCTTTGGCTCGAGTCGTGAAGCTCTGAACTTACATGTCTAAAATTAGTTGTTAAAATCAGACTTAGACTTGTATAAAAACTCGTTTAATTTAAAAGACTCAGGCTCAAATTCCAAAGCTCGGCCTTAGAACTTCTCAAGTTGGCCTAGTATATTATTTTTAATTATTTTTATATTTTTTATATTACTTGTAGTAGTCTTCTCTCTCTCTTCTCAATCCATTTCACTCCATTTTATTGGTTAAACAGACTTTTTGAATTATTTTGTTCTATATTATGCTGTTTGGATATATATTGAATTTATGAATATTTATAGAATTACTAGTATTGTTGATTGTATATTCTTTTTGGATAAATTTTTGTTATTTTATTTTTTTTAAACAGGCTAAACTAGGCTTTTATTTTTCGTAAATAAGTCAGGTCACAGACCAATAATTATATTCGTAAGAGATAACAAGCTTGGTCAGGCTGACACATTTAAACTCAGGTTTAGCCTTTAAAGACCAAAGCTCGGCCCGGCTCAGCCCGTTAACACTCCTAATTACAATAATCCAGAAAGCCCAAAGTTAAAAAAGAATTCAAAAAAAAACTTACTCCCACTCATTAAACTCACAACCTAATCACGGAGCTCAATTTAAAAGAAAACCTGCCTTACGATTAAAAAAAAAACCAAGAAAACTTTCTGCAATTTGACCTGTAAGGCTTTGTTTGGGAGTTTGGAGGGGAATGGAAGGAAGGGGATCTAAGGAGGAGGGAGAGAAAAGAAGAGAAGAAAATTGGAGGATATTCCCTTTGCTTGTTTGAGAGTTAAAAAAATGGTAAGGGAGAAAAATAGAAGCTTAATGAGATATTTTTACCAATTTACCTTTTTTTAAAATTAATATAGTTATTATATTTTACAAATTAAATTTAATTTAATTTCTAACAAAATTATTTATGTGCCTTTCACAATACTAAAAAAGATCATATTTTCAACGAAATTTTTACACTGCAAATGACAAAAAATTTGTCACAAAATTATTTTTTCGTCGAAAAACGACAGAATTTTTTCTCAATTGAAAATGTCTACAAAAATAAATTTTCTATCGAAATTTTTGACGGAATTTAGTTTCCGTCAAAAGTTTTGACAAAAGTGATTTCTTCCATCAAATGTTTTAAATGTAAAATGAATTCCATCAATAAATTTGACGGAATATTTTTCGTTCAAAATTTCGATGGAAATTTGTTCTCACTAAAATTTCGACAAAAATTGTTATGTCAAAATTTTTTAGGGAAATGTTTCATTTGAAACTTTCGACGATATTTAGATTCAATAAAGAATTTTGACAGAATATTTTTTATGTCAAAATTTTTATTGAAATAATTTTCGTCAAAATTTTTTACGGAATATTTCCTGTAGAAAAGTTTTGACAGAAATGTGTTTCGTTGAAAATTTTGATAGAAATATTTTTTCAAAAAACTTTACAGAAATATTTTTCGTCGAAAATTTTCGATGAAAATGTGTTTTGTTAAAAATTTTGAAGGAAATTTTTTTGTCAAAAAGTTTAACGAAAATTTTTCGCTCAAAAACTTTCGACGAAATTTAAATTCTATAAAGTCTTTTGATGAAATCTTTTTCAATCAAAAAATTTCGAGGAAATTGTGTTTCGTTGAAACTTTTGATGGAACTATTTTTCGTCAAAATTTTTGATGAATATGTTTTTTGTGAAAAAATTTGAGGAAAATGTTTTGACGAAATTTAGATTTCGTAAATAATTTTGACCAAAAAAAGTTTCCGTCAAATTTTTTTACAGAAATGTTTTTAGTCACTATTTTTCGTCAAAATTTTTGATGGAAATGCTTTCCGTAAAAAAATTCGACGTAATTGTTTTACATCGAAAGTTTTCGATGAAAATGTATTTTGTCAAAATTTTGGACGAAAATATTTTCGCGGAAGATTTTGACGGAATTTAGATTCTATCAATAATTTTGACTGATTTTTTTTTTCGTAAAAAATTATGTTAGTGATTATGGCAAAATCTAGTTCCGTCTCTAATTTCGTCTTTAGTTTTGACGGAAATTTTTTGACATATATAATTTTCATCATAAATTTCATCACTATTATGGACGAAATATTTTTCGTCGATAAATTTTGTCAGTATTTGAGACTTTTCTAATAATGTCTCATTTAAAAATGATTCACATTTATGTAGTTTTCGCATTTTAATGCGAAGGGTTGATAAGTAATTTTTAATATTTCTCCCCTCAAATACGCCAAATTGGGGGGAAGTTTAATTTTTAAAAGAAAGAGAGTTTGGAGGGTTTAGTAAAAATTCCCAATTCCTTCCCTTTTTTTTTTTAACTCACAAACAAGGGAAGGACTTACTAAAATCCTCCCTTTCTTTTCTTTTCCCTCTTAAAACTAACTGCCAAACAAAGCCTAAGGGGGTGTTTGGTTGAGGTTTTTGTAGAATTTATCCATGCATCTGAGTGTGGCTTTTCTGGATTTCCTTGTTTGGTTGAAGTTTTCCAAAATTTTCCCCATGCATCTGTGTTGCCCAACAATTTGCATTTGTGTGTAAAAATGGAGAAAAAACACTGTTGAGAAAAACCTTTTGCTATGTGGTATTTCAAGTTGTCTATGCAAATGGGAGAAAGAGGAGCTTTTCATTGCCAAAAATACCCTCTTCGTCTCTGTTTAGATCTAAACATTAAAAACCAGAAAAGAGGATTCAAAGATTATTGATAGATAATAAGAAAAACGCTCCAATACAGACTCGTGATTTTTGCTATCATATTTGCTCCTCACAGACCCTAACTTTCATTCCTCCTTAAGCAAACTTCAACATAATACAACAGTTTTTCAACTTGTATAAATGCTTGTGATATTCAACAGGATTTCTAAAGATTACCCATTTTCATTTGCATCCTAAATGGTCTAGAACTAGATTCCCAGGAAGGGAACTTTCTCTACCTAGCAACTTATATGAACAATGATGGACATGCACCCTATTTAAGGTGAAAGAAGTTTATCTTGTTACATATATACAGATAAGAAAGAATTACCGACAGGGTGGATCTGTATTGAAATTCACTGATTCCATCCAGATGAGCTCTTTGATGTGCTCTGCACTGAATGTTGGTTGCTCAAAATCAAAACTTAAAGGCCTGGGACCAACTGGCTCATCATTGATGTCGTGAAGTGAAGAAAGATATGGGTGCCAAAAAAAAAAGTAAAAGGTAGGTGATTGAATTTTTTTTAAAAAGAGGGATATTTTCGTAATTGTCACTTATTTCTCCATCTATATTTTACCTCAAACCAAACATAGACTTTATAAATATTACCTAATTTGTCCGGTAAATTTTTTTCCAATCAAACAACTTTTTTTACATTTTCCTACCAAACTCACTTTCCAACCATTTCTCTATCAATTACATTTTCCTAGTATTCAAAAAATTTCTCCTCAACCAAACGCCCCCTAAATGTTGAGTAAAAGCATGTATCCATGCTAACATTTTTGATACAATTTTAATACTTATATTCTATGAGAGAAATACAGTGGAACTAATAAACTCTTATTCTTGCTCAAATCATGATATAACGAATGTAGATGTATCATGTAACGGCAATTTTTTTTTTTTTCTAATTCAATAACTTTAATATTAATTTTTTTTCGAACATTCTTATTATTTGGGCGAGAAAAGGAACCGAGATTAATCCCGAATAAGTGTTTTAACATTTCATCCGTTCCATTTAAGCAAACCCTTAAATTGTTTCTTGTTTACATCTATCACCAAAAACAATTAATGTTTTTTATATTATAGGAGATAATTTTTTTTTTACACATAAAAATATATGAAATTTATTTTTTTCTCTCTTCTTTTTATATAACTTCAAATAGATCACACACACTTTTATATATATATATATATATATATATATATATATATATATATATATATATAATAA